ATAATAATAATAATAATAATAATAATAATAATAATAATAATAATAATCGACTTTATTTAAAGAGGGTATACACATAACAGCTTGCGCTGATAAACCAGTGGCCCTCAAAACTAAAGTTAGTAAGTAATACATTCTAAGCCATAGAGATTAAAAATAGAACTAACTAGTCGAACAATGTAACTATTCAAAGATTATAAATACAATAAAACTAGATTATAATACAGCTTCAAAAGAATCAATGTCTCTATAAGAATTTATAAAATAATTCTTCAAATCATTCCTAAGAGAGGAGATGCTACGTTGTTTCCTAAGCTCATTTGGAAGACTATTCCATAACTTAATACTACTAACTTGGAAAGACCTTCCTGCCTCAGTAGTATTTCGATACTTGGGACAGATTAGGTTATACTGGCCATGCCTGGTCTCTCTACCATGCAGGGAGTGATTTGTAGTTAAAGTACTTTCAATATACGTAGGGGATTCCCCATGCAGTGCCTTATAGATTAACACGCACTTTCTTATCTTGACTTCATCAAAGAATGGGATCCAATTTAGTTTCTTAAAATTTTCCACAGTTCTTGATCTGATACCTGTACCTAATATTACACGCGCTGCACGTTTCTGCAACCGAAACACTCTCATGAGATCTTCCTTAGAACAATAGGTCCAAACTATACTACCATACATCATGACCGGCTTAATAAGGGCATTATAGAAGAGTAATCTTTCCTCAATGGGTAAATAAGTACACAACTTTTTCAGTAGGCCAATTTTTTTGCTAAGCTTCTTACAAAGTTTATCTACATGTTCCTTAAAAGTTAGTTCTTGATCAATTGTAACCCCAAGCAGTTTCTGATGTATAACTTGCTCGATAGCTGTTCCATTTGCTTGCAACTTCAAACTAGGGTCAGCTACACGTGACTTGAGACGCTTGCCAGTTACCAGAATAGATTTGGTTTTCCCGGCATTTAAGACCATGCGATTTTGAGTAGACCATGCGCAAAGACTGTCAATGTCCTCCTGAAGTTTTGCTTCAACTGCCGTTGTCCCCAGAGTACAATGAGCACTAGAGGAAAAGGTAGTATCATCGGCATAAACATCCACAGTAGAGTTTGAGATCACTTGTGGGAGGTCATTGATGAAAGTCAGGAACAGCAAGGGGCCCAAAATACTTCCTTGTGGAACACCATGGGTGATACCTAGTGGGGATGAAGTGCACCCATTTATATTAACATATTGTTGACGGTCAGCCAAGTAGCTCCGAAACAATTGTAGATTTCCATCATCGACACCATAGATCTTCAGTTTAGCAAGGAGAATATCATGATTTATCAGGTCAAAAGCTTTACTATAATCAATACACACAAGGCCAGTTACATTATTACAGTCAATATCAAAGAGGATCTGATCCAAGAGTCGAGTAAGTGCAGTTTCAGTTGAATGATACTTTCGGAACCCTGACTGTAATCCATGCAGAAGGTCATTTCTAGACAGGTGCGCGTACAGTGAATCATATATATGCCTCTCGTAGATCTTTGACAAAATGGGAAGTACCGAGATTGGACGATCATTTTGTTTATCAGTCTTAGAGCCTTGATTTTTAAATACTGGTGTGACTTTTGCAATTTTCCACTTTGACGGAAAACTGTGCGTGGAAATACAATAGTTTATAAGGCTCGTAACCGAGCTGGCAATACCTGGCGCAGCAGTTTTTAGCACTCGAGTGCCAAGACTATCCGCTCCTGTTGCTTTGCTAGAAGGCATTTCCTGCAGCATTTTCAAAACCTTCACAGGGGATATTAAGCTCAAACCGCTCACACGGCGAGCAATTCTTTCGATTGTCGGTTCTGTTTACGATCCCCTCAGCCTTGCCGCACCCTTCGTGTTACCGGCCAAACAATTGCTTCAGGACCTATGTCGAGTCAAGCTGAATTGGATGATCCTATTCCTCAAGAGCACAGGGCACGCTGGGAGCGATGAATGGCCGATCTTCCTAAACTATCGCAGTTTTCCATCGATCGCTGTGTTAAGCCAGCTGGTTTCGACTACATCTCTTCAAGCCAGCTGCACCATTTCTCTGATGCCTCAGAGAGCGGTTTCGGATCGGTTTCCTACCTGCCTCTTGTTAATGGCAAGAGTGCTGTTCACTGTTCTTTTCTGTGTGCCAAGTCACGTGTGGCGCCCCTAAAGACGATTACGATCCCGCGTCTTGAGTTGTCTGCCGCAGCAATCTCCATCAAGCAGGACAAGGACTTGAAGAGAGAATTAGAGATACCAATTAGTTCCCAGTCCGTCCTCTGGACAGATAGCACTGCAGTATTACGTTACGTGAAGAACGAAACAAGGTGATTCCACACTTTTGTAGCCAATCGTGTCGCACTTACTCGTGATGGCTCTGAACCCCATCAGTGGAACCATGTGAGCGGCGACATGAATCCCGCCGACGACGACACTCGAGGATTGACAGCCGATGTCTTCATTAGACAGCGGCGTTGGTTAATGGGGCCGGAATACCTTTGGAAGCCCGAACACACGTGGCCAATGCAGACCAAAGCATTTAACAATGTCCTCGATGGAGATCCTGAAATAAAGATGGATGTTAAGGTGTGCATGTCCTCGCTAGTCAAGCAAAGCTGCCTACTGTTGCGTTATTTCCAGAAATGTTCTTCCTGGTTCCGTCTAAACAAAGTTGCTGCCTGGCTCCTGCGCTATCGGGAAAGACTTCTGAATGCGAGTAAAAACAAAGGTTTAAACCGCGATATTCCGACGTACATCACCCTTGAAGAGATCAAGAGAGCAGAGAAAGAAATTCTGAGGCATGTACAGAAAAGAGCCTTCCCCAACGAGTTCAACCATCCCGAAAAACCAGTTAAGAGGAGTAGTCGCCTCTACAAGCTTGACTCAATCGTTATGGATGGGCTTTTGCGCGTTGGTGGCCGGCTACGTAAAGCATCATTACCCGCGGAATCGAAGCACCAGATTATTCTTCCGAAAAAGTATCACGTTACCAGAGTGATTATCGACGATTACCACAGGGCATGCGGCCATTCCGGTGGAGAGCACGTTATAGCTTCCATTAGGCAGAAATTCTGGATCACCCAAGGAAGTTCAGCCGTGAAAAGTGTTCTGGGGAAGTGTGCCAGTTGCCGTTGCTGCCAGGCACCACTTTGCCAACAGAAGATGGCCGATTTACAAGAAGATCGCATGCTGGGCGTAGATTATTCTGGCCCATTCCAAGTCCGTCGTGGGCGGAGTCTCGTAAAGAGGTATGGTGTGATCTTCACATGTCTAGCAATCCGTGCCGTGCACCTCGAAAATTCGCATGGCCTAGGTACGGACTCGTTCCTATTGGCTTTGCGACGTTTCATTGCAAGAAGAGGCCAAGTGAAGCAGATCTACTCGGATAACGGATCAAACTTAATTGGTGGGGAGAAGGAGCAGTGTGACGCTATTTCAGATTGGAATCAGGAAAAGATACACAATTCCCGGTTACAAAAGGACATCAAATCGTACTTGAACCCTCCCTATGGTACCCACTTTGGAGGTATTTGGGAGAGATGCATCTGAACCGTTCGGAAGATCCTACAAGCGCTGCTGCGAGAGCAAACTACGGACGACGAAAGCCTGGCCACTTTAATGTGCGAAGTGGAGAGTATTATGAACAGCCAACCCATTACCAGCGTATCCAGTGTTCCGAACGACAATGAGCCCTTGACGCCTAACCACTTGTTGTTTCTCAAATCGGACGTCTCCTTACCCCCCGGTCTATTCAAGAGAGAAGATTCTCTGTCGCGTCATCGATGGAAGCAAGTGCAATATTTAGCGGACATCTTCTGGAAGAGATGGAGTAGGGAATACCTTCCCCTTTTGCAACTTAAACAAAAGTGGGTGCACCCAAAGAGGAACTTGGCCGTTGGTGATATCGTTCTGGTCGCATCCGAGTCGCATCGCAATTCCTGGCCGCTTGGCAGAGTTGTTGAAAGCTTTCCCGACAAAAGAGGCTTGTTCGCCGGATAAAAAGTGTTCGCCAAGACAGGTGTCCACGATAGACCCGTCGACAAGCTCTGTCTTTTGGTTGAAAAGGAATGTCCTAAGAACACTAAAAACTGAGAAACATTTAGTTAATCTGTACTTAGCCTTCAATTAGCCTTGTTCGCTAAGTAGACTTCATGGAGTGCACTGATACTTAAGGTTTAGCAGTAGTTTATTGTAATTCATTAGATGTAAGTGACTCGCTTNATGTTACGGTTTGAGATGTGATAGAAAAATATTCTATGCCACATACAATTGGACAACAATGTACAATCAAGCTCGATGTTTGTAGGATTTAAAATTGAACCCACTTTTAATAAATCAAGGCTAGTTGCGATCGAAAACTACTTCAAATTAATGGGAATCTAGCGATCCGTATTCCCCTCTATATGCATATATACTCTTTGTTGTATGTTGTCTACTTACAAGTTGGCTAAACTCGTCAGATTCTGGAACGCTCTCTCAGGAATAAGCTTCAACATGTTATTTGATAAGTATCTAAGAAGAAAAAAATTAAACCCGCCCTCTCAGCTATGCAATTGGTTGCTTCTTATGTTACTGTGTGATATGTAATACAAAAATAATCCATGCCTCATACAGCTGGACAATTGTGTGAGTATAAAGGCAGAAATACCTTTTGTTATATTGTCTACTTACAAGTAGGTTAACTTCGTTAGATTCTGGAGCGCTTTCTTAGGAATAAGCTTGAACATGTTACTTGACAAGTATCTAAGGAGAAAAAAAAATTAATTCCGTCCTCTCAGCTATGCAAATGATTGCTCCTTATGTTACGGTGTGAGAAGTGATAGAAAAATATTCTATGCCTCATACAATTGGAGAACAACGTACAATCAAGCTCGATGTTTGTAGGATTTAAAATTGAACCCACTTTTAATAAATCAAGGCTAGTTGCGATCGAAAACTACTTCAAATTAATGAAAATCTAGCGATCCGAATTCCCTTCTATATGCATACATACCCTTTGTTATATGTTGTCTACTTACAAGATGGTTAAACTCGTCAGATTCTGGAACGCTTTCTCAGGAATATGCTCCAATTCGTTATTTGATAAGTCTCTAGGGAGAAAAAAAATTAAACTCCGCACTCTCAGCTATGCAAATGGTTGCTTCTTATGTTACTGTGTGATATGTAATACAAAATATTCTTCAAGTAGGTTAAACTCGTCAGATTCTTCAACCCATTGTCAGGAATAAGCTACAACATGTTACTTGACAAGTCTCTAAGGAGAAAAGATTTTAAATCTGCTCTCTCAGCCATGCAAATGATTGCTTCTTATGTTACTGTGTGATATCTGTTATAAAAATATTCTATGCCTAATACAATAGGACAACTATGAACAGTAAAGCTCTCTGTTTTTTGGAATTAAAGTTGACACAACCTTTAACAAATAAAGGCTGCTTTCGATCAAAAATTACTTGAAATCCAAATGAAATCTAGGGATTCGTATTCCTTTCTATAGGCATAAATATACTTTGTTATTTTGTCTTTTTACAAGTGGGTTAATTTCGGCAGATTGTGAAGCGCTTTGTCAGGAATAACCTTGAACATATTACTTGACAAGTCTCTAAGGAGAAAAAAGCAAATTAATTCCGTCCTCCCAGCTATGCAAATGGTTGCTCCTTATGTTACGGTTTGAGATGTGATAGAAAAATATTCTATGCCACATACAATTGGGCAACAATGTACAATCAAGCTCGATGTATGTAGGATTTAAAATTGAACCCACTTTTAATAAATCAAGGCTAGTTGCGATCGAAAACTACTTCAAATTAATGGAAATCTAGCGATCCGTATCTCCTTCTATATGCATACACACCCTTTGTTATATGTTGTCTACTTACAAGATGCCTAAACTTGTCAGATTCTGGAACGCTCTCTCAGGAATAAGCTTCAACATGTTCCTTGATAAATATCTAAGAAGAAAAAAATTAAACTCCGCCCTCTCAGCTATGCAAATGGTTGCTTCTTATGTTACTGTGTGATATGTAATACAAAAATATTCTATGCCTCCTACCATAGGAGAACAATGTACAATCAAGCTCGCTGTCTTCAGGTTTGAATATGAAACCACTTTTGATAAATTAAGGCTGGTTTTGATCGAAAACGACTTTGGATTAATGAAAACCTAGGGATTCGTATCCCCTTTCTACATTAAAAGAATACCCTTTGTTATATACTGTCTACTTACAAGTAGATTAAACTCTTCAGATTCTGCAACGCTTTCTCAAAAATAAACTCCAACGTGTTCTTTGACGAACGTCTGAGGGGAAAAAACTTTAACTCCGCTCTGCAAAAATGGCTCTATACAAATGGTTGCTCCTTATGTTACGGTGTGATATGTGATACAAAAATATTCTATGCCTCATACAATTGGACAACAATGTACAATCAAGGTCGCTGATTTTTAAGATTTTAAATTTAAGCACTGTTGATAATAAAGGCTTGTTTCGATCGAAGATCGCTTTAGATTAATGCTTTAAGGTAGATGATTAAAAAGAACGGCAATAGCCCAATTCCGAATTGCCGCATGTTTGGAGTCTGGTTGCGAGATTACGGCACGAGAGTGAGGACAAGTGCATAAAAATCCGACATGAACGCTACTGAAGATTTCTCGAAATACATGGTTGACGGTTTGAAAAAGTACTTAAAAGAGCGTGGCATTTAGTTGAGTGATGGAGGTAAAGGGAGAAGGAAGGCAGAGTTGGTCGATTTGTGCGGAAAGGCGGCAGAAATGAAGCAAGCGAAGCTTGAAGATACTGTCGAAGACTACAACAAGCTGCTCTAGGAGAAATTACAGACGGAGGGCGGTAAACTGTCAGACCCGAATACCTTAACGGCTTGGACCAACAACTTTTGGATATCCCGGAGTTTACATTCGGAGATTTGTACAGGTATCTAGGGGGAAGAGAGGAATGCTCTGAGAAAAACCTTCGTTCTTTTAAGAGTCTCTTGGGCTATAAGTTGTATGACGATTGCCATGTTACGGATTTGAGGTGTTGTCCCATAAAACAGAAAGAAATATATTTCTTTAAATTTAAAGTTAAGCCAACCGAGAGGGCGAAAACAGAAGATGGACAGACTACTTACAGAATCTTTATACATTTGAAAGCGAGTGGAGAAGTTCACTCTGCTCATTCTCCCTGGAAAGTAGGAAGTGATGGCTGCTGTAGGTACGTAGCTGTCGTGTCATTTGATCTCCAAGTGACATAAAGGAACAATTTGATGATCACTTGCACCTCTGGCAGATGTGCTAATTAAAATTACTTCTTGAAGCTGGATCAGTTTCATCGTTTTCAGTACAAAAACAGTACGAATGATCATGATAAATGCCCTGGACATCGGCACCACTCAAGGCAACAACTAATTTAACCGTTTCCACGGAATGATTTTCTTCATTGATGTGAACACGAATGCTTGGCTCAGGTGTTTTGATGTCGTTCAGCTGTGTTTCTTTGTCGCTGATTCATAGCGAACATCTCTTGGACTTCTTTTAGGCTCACTCGGGTTGAAAATTTCTTGCAAAGCTGACTCAATAACTCTTCATCTGCCATTTAATGTGCTTTTGTAAGATTCCGGTAAAAAATGTGCACTGCAAATCCTCAAGTTGTTAGGCTCACCTGCCTTTGCTTTCTTAAATTCAAGAGCAATCTCTTTGTCCGCCTTACGGCAGAATTTTAACCATTTACTAAGTCTCGCATCCGAGAGAAAAGAAAAATGCGAAAGATCTCGACGATTATGATTCCCATTTGTGCAGCAAGCAACAGAACAACAAACCATCTTATAAACAAAGCGATTAGGCGAGCATGAAATCTTGCATAAGAGCTTTGTTTTTCGCGCCATCAAGCAATACTTCGCACTTAGCCTCACTCTCGTGCCACAACTTCGGCACCAGGGCTCTGTCATGCGAGAACTCGGAAATGGGCTATTAAGTATAGAGATTTTCAGGGTTTAACGAAATATTCTAAGAAAATTTGAATTAGTTATACTTTTAGGTAAGGAATTTCAAAGGCGAGGGCCATTGAATTTTAGGGACCGTAGGCCATATTGAATAGTATTAACTGAAGCTTCATAAAGATTTCTGTTACATGATTGCCTTGTTGCATAGGAATGAACAGAACATGTAAATTTGAAATATTTACTGAGACAAAGAGGGAAACAGTCTATGTGACCACTGATAAACAAAAGAGAGGATCTGTAATTCAATAACATCATTGAGCTTAAAAAGATTGATGGATTTAAACAGAGGCTCAGAATGAAAGGGATTTTAGCTCAGAGAAAGATATTCTGATTGTTTTTTTTTTTTTAAATAATAAATAATTGTGTTAGAAATGAGGGAAAGGTTAAACCCCAGACACGAACGCCATAGGTGAGGAATGGATAGATAAGGGAGTAATAAATCATGAAAACAATAACTCTGTTGACAAAGTGTCTCACTTATGACAAGATACCTACAGTTTTGGATAGTTTCAAACAAACCTCATTAATATGACTTTTCCATGTTAAGCTAGCACAAA